TTGCCATCATCGTTTTCAAAACATTTTCTTTCTACTTGACCCCTTGATATCAGCTCCTCATTCCCCCCCCATTCCCCCCTCCCTCATGAACCCTTGATGTGATTTATAAATTATTATTATGTCATATCCTACACTATCCGATGTCTCCATTCTCTGCATTTTTAAGCACTCTTTGCAGCAAGAATTCAGCACTCTTTGGGCCACCAACCCTGGGTCCCATCCCACTGTTTGGCCTGGGCACACCTACCCACGCCCCCATTGTAACATTGGAAGGGCACACACTGCTTCTGCAAAGTGATGTCTTTCAAATACTTGGTGGCTTTCAGGATATGCCGACTCTTGATGGCCTGGGCAGATTCATCGGTGTGACCCAAAGATTTGACCTTTTGGTTTGCATGATGTGGGGTTTTCTGGGTCAAGTGAGTAGCAAACAGCAGATCACCCCAGGCTGCTAAGGCTAAGGCTCTTTAACCACCCCCTTGAGCGGTCACCATGAGTAAGAATCTACTGGATGGCCAGGGCTTTGGGTTTGGGGGCTGGGGGGGGGGGTGTAGTCCCAAGCCAAGAGCCAGCATGCCCAGCACACCTCGCTCCTGCTGGGTGACATATTTGCTAGACCCCTGGTGGTGTAGTGGTTACATGTTGGACTGCTACCTGAAAGGTCAGCAGTTCAAAACCACCAGCTGCTCCAGAGGAGGAAGACGGCTTTCTACTCATAGAGTGACAGTTTTGGAAATCCACAGGGGCACTTCTACCCTGCTCTGTAGGGTGCCTGTGAGTTGAGGGAGGAAGGAAGGGAGGGAGCTTGTCCAACTGTTAAAGGCTGGACTTTGGGAGTCCTGGCTCCTTTGTCATGCAGGTGAAAGTGGTGGGCAGCTGGGGTAGCCCTCCCCCCATCACCCGCAGTCCAGCCTCATCCCCAGGTCACACAGGTGAAGAGGCTACCAGCTGTCAGCAAGCTCAGGGTTCACCAAGTCACTGCCCTTTGCAAGGCCCACACCCCTCTTTTGTGGAATTCTGGATTTTTATACCTAGTATCCCCCCCAAAGGCCACCAGCTCAGTCTGTGCTCCGAAGGACAGGGCAGGTCTTGGTGTGCCGCTGAGCCTCCCCAGCTGACCAGGAAGGTTTGTTTGGACGTTCTTATTTCTGTAGGTGACACACGAGCCTAACTTTCACCCATCTCTGGGTGGGTTAACCTTTGAGACATCTGCCACCTGGAGGTGAGCTCCGTGCCTGTGGTTTAAGGGAGAGGCCACGTAGGCTGCTGGGGTGGGAAGCCACGCACTGGCACTCGGCTGTGTGACCTGGGGTTAAGGTGCTGGCTGTTCTTCCCCTGCCGGTGGACGGTCTACATGAGGACCTGTGTCTGGCTGGGGCTGCAGTCGCAAGAGGCTTTCCACGCCCACAGAGAGTATGGTCTCGAAACCCACAGGGCAGCTCTCCCCTGTCATGGGGCCACTCACAGACTCGATGTCGGTGAGTGTGGCTTGAGTTTGAAGGCAGGGGCTGCATCCTGGGGCTGGGTGAGGAGCACTCAGGTTCTACCTGAGCAGCAGGAGAGGCGGTGCCACCAGTGAAAAAATAAACTTTCTTTGTGGGCGTAAAGCCAATTTGCCAAGAAGGCCAACCACAGTCGCTGGTAGTGAAAGTCTGAGGCTGCCTAGCAGTGCCGGTGCCTCCTGGTGAGACAGAGGCACTTGGGTTCCCCCAGGCTCGGGTCAGCTCAGCGATTTCAGAACTCTGCTCTGCCAGCTGGAGCTGGGAGCCAAGGCTCCTACTATGAGCCTCGGTGGATTATCAGGACAGGCCTCAGGGAGGAGGCTGCTGGGGAAGAAACACCATTCAAAGCACCTCCTGTATACATGCGAAGGAGCCCTGGTGGTGTAGTGGTTATGGCTTGGGCTGCTAACTGCAAGGTCAGCAGTTCGAAACTGCTGATGGGTTCCAACCATCAGCTCATGGGACAAGGGCTCCCCACTCCCTTAAAGTCACCGTGTCGGAAACGCACAGGGCCAGTTCTGCCCAGGCCTCCTCGACTCCGGGGCAGTGTTTGGTTTGGGTTTGGGTATGCCTGTGTGGACGTTGTAGTCCCATGGTAGGATTCTCTCCTTGCACGTGGGAGCCCCTGGGTTCAGTTCCCGGCTAAGGCACCTCCCGTGCATCCACTCCCCCCACCTCATCCCCCAGCTGCCAGTGGAGGCTTGCTTGTTGCTCAGGTGCTGGACTGGTATCACAGGAGCACCTAGATTTGAGAAGTTAGGAAGAAAGACCTGGTTACCTGTGAACCCTGTGGATCAGAACAGTGTGGTCCCATTGTGCATGGGCTCACCCTGCGTCGGGGCTCGCCCGATGGCAGTGGGGACACCCGCGGCGGTTTGTACATCTGTACACTAGTCCGAGGAAGAAGGCATGCTGGGACCACAGCTGCGGGGACCAAGCACAGGCAGGCCCAGGCTGGTAGGGTGGGTGGAGGATACACAGGGAGAGCTTGGATGTCCCCTTGCCTATCCAATGGCCAGCAGGAGTTCCAGGGCCATTGCTGGCCCCCCTGGTGCTGGATTTAAAAAAGCTTCTACCCCCAGAATACCAAGTGAAAAACACTCCACTGTGGGGCAGGGGGGTTTCCTGTGGCGAACATGAACCCCTACACTGGGCACATGATTTGACCAGCAAGGCTTGGGTGGGATTTCAGCCCTCACTCGTGCCCTCTGGGTGGTTAGGTGGACAACCCACACCACTGTACATGGTAGTCCTGGAAGGCGCTGTAGGCTCTTGCTCAGGGCAAAGGCAAGAACAGAATTGGCAGGCCCACGGGGTGTCTGCCAATGGGGCCCCCAAGTTCCCACCCACCCCCAGATGAGGGTGGGGGTGCCCCTTGTCTGTGGCCAGGCTGTCCCTCCTCACTGTATGTTTTCCTCTCTGGTGGGGCGCGGGGCGGCCCCTAGGTGTCCAGCCACATACAGGTTCTAGCTCGGAAGAAGGTGCGCGAGTACCAGGTTGGCATCAAGGTATGTTGGGCAGCTGGCTGGGGCCTGCAGCCCTTCCTGGGCCCCGCCATCCATCTGCCCGGCTCGGGCTCTGCTGGGACCAGCTCCCCAGCTCCACGCACCTCTCTTCTGGCTGAAGCTCTTGCCTCGCCTCTACTCTTTCTGCTTGCTCTCGCTCTCTCTCTCCCTCCACAGGTCTCTAGCCATTTGCAGGTTCTAGCCAGGCGGAAATCTCGGGAGATTCAGTCCAAGCTGAAGGTACGGCCTCCCCTGCCTCTGGCCTAGCCCTGCCACGCACCCGCCTGGACCCAGACTTGTTGCTGGTCTCTGGCCACAGTCCGGAGCAGAGCAAGGACTGGAGGCCTATGAGAGAGCTTCGAAAACATAGTGACCGCAGTCACCCGGAGTCCAGCCTCAGGACACCTGGACACAGCGCCTCAGAACTGAGCAGTAGGCCGAGGGACTAGCCAGCTCTACAGACAGAGAGAGGGAGGGAGGCCATCTGGGGCCACTTAGGCCCCCCCCCCCCAATCTCTCCTTTTCTCCGCTTTCCTTTCCCGCCTCCCCCTCATTGCTGCTTGCTCGTTGCATGGGGACGGCAGTCAACTGGGTGGGCAGGTGGGAGGCATTGGGGGCTACAGCGGTGGACACCACAACTCCACAGCCGCCTCTCAGTCCTGGCCTCTGAGCCAGCGGTATAGGGCCTGGGCCTGAGTCCAAGACCCCCAGGAGGCGGCCTCGCCTTTCCCTGCCCACAGCTGCTCTGGTGATAGGCTGCCCAGCCCCTCCCCCGCCCCCTCTGGTGTAACACAGCTCCAGAGGACACGGCCAGTTGCAAGGGAGTGCCAGCCTGGACAACTGTCCGGGTCTCTGGCCCGCACCTCCCCTTCCAGGGCACCCCTGGCCGGCATGCACTCCCTAGGGGTGTGTAGCATGTCGGGAGGCATGGGGGTGACTCACAGCTGCTTCTAAGCCTTTCTGGCCTCTGCTGGAGCTGGGGCCCAGGTGGGCATTGGGTGTGGGGGGAGGCTGTGCCCCACCCTCACCCCATGAGTCTTTCTTTGGGTTTCTTCTAATCCGTCCGCCTTGTTCTCTTTGCAGGCCATGAACCTGGTAAGTAGTCTGGTCCTTCCCCTGCCTGGGAGGGGGGCGGCTTGGCACCGGGTCTAGAATGCAGGCTCTCAACCGTGGAGTCAGTTAGGTTTAGGGTTACGCACGGGGCAGCTATCCTCTAGGTCAGCAGTTTGAAACCACCCATCACTCCTCGGGCACTGAGGCCCCTGTACAGAGTTACTGTGTCAGAGACCCACAGGGACTGCTCTTCCCTGTCCTAGAGGGTCGCCACAAGTAAGACCGACTTGTGTGGGCTTAGTTTTCTAAGCGACATTTTAGTGTATTTATTTCATGGGAACAAACGCCACCACAGTACCGTCTCCCAGTGCCCTCGTTTTCAGTGATCAGTGGCTGTGGTGACACTCTCCCATCATGTCCAACATCCTCGTCATCCGCTCCCAGCTGGTTCACCTCTGACCCTTGCTGCGCTCCCCAGGGCTCTCTCCTGCGCTTGAAACAGCGGAACAATCAGTTTGGTCTTAGATGGATTTTCTTTTCCAGGGAGCATACTCGTTACTGTGCGGGCTAACCAGTTAACTTAGTTTAAAAGTGGTGGCGTTTGAGAAATAAGAATCCGTTTTTGGTTTTTTTTCTCGCTTGTTGAAAATAATACAATGCAAAGAAAGAAAATAGTACAAAGCAAAATATTCCACAATCCCTTACAGGTCTAATTCAGAAGCATTGTAAACTGTGCCCCACCATGAGCGTAAACCCTTCCAGGTTAGCCTTTCAGGTAGGGAGCAGCGTTTTTAAAAAGGAAAGAAGGGACGGAAGCCACCATGGCGTGCCTGTCACCTGGACCCGTCACCCGAAGGTTACCGGCCCCACCCCTGGGCCTCTGCTTCTGAGTCAGCGGCTGAGAGTTTGCATCCCTGACCATTGCACAGATGCGGCGGGGCGACGGGCCATACCTGGGAAACCCTGAGGAAACAGACTAGCGACAGGAGAAGTGTTGGGGCGTCCCCGTGGGAGTGGTGGTGGTAGGGAGGGCGCACACTGGAAGGAGGGCTCAGAGCGCGCAGGGTCTCCCCCGGGACCACACAGCAGAGCAGGACCGAAAGCAGGGCTTGGACTCTGGAGGCCCTGGTCCCTGGCCTGACCTGGCCCTTCCCCTCCCCAGGACCAAGTCTCCAAGGACAAAGCCCTCCAGAGCATGGCGTCCATGTCTTCTGCCCAGATCGTGTCTGCTAGTGTGCTGCAGAACAAGTTCAGCCCGCCCTCCCCTCTGCCCCAGGCCGTCTTCTCCACTTCCTCTCGGGTACAGGGGCCTGGGAGGCAGGCCCGGGTGGGTGTCTCTGAAGGACGGGGCTGTGCCAGGGCTCCTGGGCACTGAGGGGCCTCTTGGCTTTGTCCCCTCCCCGCAGTTCTGGAGCAGCCCCCCTCTCCTGGGACAGCAGCCTGGACCCTCTCAGGAGTGAGTATTGTGGCTCGCCCTTCCCAGACCCTCCTCCTTCCAGGGGCACCGGGCAGGGCTCTCTCCCCAGGAACGGCTGAGCAGAGATGCCATTGGAGAGTCGAGGGACGGATGGAGGGCGCAGATCCACCTGTGTGGATTCTTGTGCTTGTTCATTTATCAGCCCACTGTCTCGCTCATCGCCCGGCCCTGTTTCTTTTCCCCGGTGGATCTGAGTCAAGCTCGCTGCTGAGCTAGGGAGTTGAGGGTGTCCGTGCTCACATCTTCACTTCCTGTCCACTTTTGCTGCAAAGAGCCCCCCCTGCGGTTTAATGAGCAGCTCACTTGTCTGTCGGGAGCGGGGCTGCGGGTGTGGGGCTGACGCGAGGCACTGTCTGTTCACCCGCGTTGGGAGCTGCCGCAGGATTGCTAACAGAAGGTCGGTGCGGTGTAGTGTGCCAGCCTGCACTGCTGGCTCAGTGGGTCCCTGTCGGGGTCTGGGATGCGGGCTGGGCCAGGTGGACCCTCCAACCAGGCTGTGCTCTGTTTGCAGCATCAAGCCCTTTGCGCAGCCAGCCTACCCCATCCAGCCGCCCCTGCCCCCGACGCTCAGCAGTAAGTCTCCTGCAGGTGTCACCAGCACCTCTCTCCCTCGGCACCTGCACCTCTGCGTGGGCGAGCTGGAGGCCAGCCGTGCGGGCGCGGGAGGGGGGTGGCATGAATAGGGGCTGATGGGGTGGGGGGTCAGCCCAGGAACTGGCCCCTCTGCCTTTCACAGTCTTGCTCCTAGAGCTCTGGCACCACATCTACACCCACAGCCCACACACGCTCCTGAAGCACAGCCCCACAGACGCTGCACGTTTATTTAAATGGGACACACACACGCTCGCACAAACACACCAGATCAGCCTTCGGTGTCTAGAGTTCAGGGCCGGGCCATGGGTTCATTTGTCTCTCTTTACTCGCCCGTGTGTTCCAGGTGAACACACACCAGTGGTGGAACCTGCAGGAATGGGTGGTGCAGGCCGGGTGGGTAGTGCACTGTGCAAGGCCGCCTGGCCCAGGGGGCTGTGGGGAGGGCAACTGCAGCTCAGGGGCCGTTTTCTGGTCACATGAAGGCTCAGTGGAAGCCAGGGCTGCCCCCGTATGCAGATGTGGGTCCTCTCACCCCACAGGTTACGAGCCTCTGGCCCCGCTGCCCCCGGCTGCCGCCTCTGTGCCCGTGTGGCAGGACCGCACCATCGCCTCCTCGAGACTGCGGCTCCTGGAGTACTCGGCCTTCATGGAGGTGCAGCGCGACCCCGACACGGTAAAGTGTTGGCGAGCTCATGGGCGTGCTCCAGCGTGACCTGGCCCCGGGGCCCGGCTGAAGGTGGAGGCCCCTCGGACTCATGGGGATGGGGCCTGGCCTGTTGTCCCTTCGGGTGCTCTCCTGACCCCCGTCCTGGGCCCTCCCCACAGTACAGCAAACACCTGTTTGTGCACATCGGCCAGACCAACCCCGCCTTCTCCGACCCACCCCTGGAGGCAGTGGACGTGCGCCAGATCTACGATAAGTTCCCCGAGAAGAAGGGTGGCCTGAAGGAGCTCTATGAAAAAGGGCCCCCTAACGCTTTCTTCCTCGTCAAGTTCTGGGTGAGCATTCCTTCCTGCCCATGGGCAGCCAGCCCCCTGGGCCCACCCCACTGACCCTGTGGGCTGTGAGTCCCCTGGGAGAGGTGGCTCCTGGGGAGGGCAGAGGAATGCCACGGCGGCTCCTATGGACACATGGCGCCCTTCTGCCCCCCTGCCAGGCCGACCTCAACAGCACCATCCACGAGGGCCCCGGGGCCTTCTATGGGGTCAGCTCCCAGTACAGCTCCGCTGACAGCATGACCATTAGCGTCTCCACCAAGGTGTGCTCCTTCGGCAAGCAGGTGGTGGAGAAGGTGGAGGTAAGTGGGGGCCTGGGCAGCAAGGAGGGGGCCTCACCCCGGAGCAGGCACAGCGGGGTCACGCCTTCCCGGGGACTCTCCGCAGACGGAGTACGCCCGGCTGGAGAACGGCCGCTTCGTGTACCGCATCCATCGCTCGCCCATGTGCGAGTACATGATCAACTTCATCCACAAGCTGAAGCACCTGCCCGAGAAGTACATGATGAACAGCGTGCTGGAGAACTTCACCATCCTGCAGGCGAGGCCGCGGGGGCGGGGGCGGGGGCGGGGGCGGGGCGGGCCTGGCCTCCCGCGGCAGCTGGCCGGGTCTGGTGCTCAGATGGAAAGACTGAGACCCAGGACCGAGGCAGGCCTGCTAGCATGTGGCCTCACGCTGCCTGACCGTTGGACTCTTGCTCCCTGCCCCCAGGTGGTCACAAGCCGAGACTCGCAGGAGACCCTGCTGGTCATCGCGTTCGTCTTCGAAGTCTCCACCAGTGAGCATGGGGCTCAGCACCACGTCTACAAGCTGGTCAGAGACTAGGGTGCCTCCCACCCCAGCAGCAGGACCCAGGACAAGCATCTTTGCCACACACCTGCCTGGCATCCCTGGGGGTGTCCAGGATGAGGACGCATCTGCCTGCCAGGCCCCAGGCCCAGCCCCACCTGCCCCCACCACACATACTCCCTGCCACTGTTCTGCGCTTTACTTGTGGGAGAACCCGGCAGGCTCAGCAGGAGGGGCAGCCTGCCCAGGGCCTGCACCTCAAACGGCCTCCGAGAGGCAAGCTGGGTGAGGAGTGTGGCAGGCAACTGGAGGGTGGGATGAGGCGGAGGGAATCGGGTGGAGAGGCATCAGGAAGGACAGTGTCAGGTTGAGGGGAGAGAGGCACCCACACTCCTTTGCACCTGCTATGGTTCAGGCCCTGCACAGCTCATCCCCACCCCCGCCCTGGCCCCAAGAGATAAGGGTTGAAGCTGTGATACCAGCACCACCCCCTCCCCCCACCAGGAGGTGGGCATGGGGGCCAGAGCTGGAGGTCTCACTGCAGGGTGCTTGTCCTCAGAGCCCAGGTTGGAGCAGTGTCTGGCCATGGGGGGCAGGGAGAGGGGAAAGAGGTCTGTTCTGGAGAGCTAGGTCAGACAGGAGGAGGAATGGAAGCCTCCTGAGGGGTCAAAACAGAGCACCAGGTGTGTGTGACCAAGTAGGAAGAGGAGAGCAGGTACTAGGCACCTTACCTTACGCATCCTCCCACCAGCCAGCCAAGTCCTAGGGGAGCCTCTACCCACGCCTCTGAGCCCCCCAGCCCAGAGCGGGTGCCAAGCCTCCCAGCAGCCTCCCGAAAGGGGAATGCCCTGGAGACAAAGCAAGCTTAGGATCGGAAATGGGATCTGGGACCACACAGCCCAGAGCAGCGAGCCATCCTGAAACAAGGGCTGGCAGAAGACGCGACTATTCCCTCTCCCTGTCCTTGGGCTGGTTGACCCCTACCTGGATGCCACTCCCTTAAATTCCACCCCCACCCGTCTCCCGGGCCTGGAGCAGCAGCTCTCCCCAGATCCAGTTCTGGGACTGAAGGTTAACCCTTGCCCTGCTGCCCCTGCCCCAGGACGCAGACCCCCCACCTCTCCCCCCAGCCGGCTAGGCCTGTTCAGCAGCCACCTGTGGGTGGGGCTGGCCCCCAGGCAACCAGCGACCTCTGGGTATTTATGAGTTTCAAATGAAGTACTGTGCCCCTTCCCTTGCTTCCCCTCCACCCGCCCCGCCCAGCTCCTGAGCTTCCGGAAGGCCCTCACCGTCTGCATGTTGCTCAGGCCACCTCCCGGCCCAACCTCGGTTTTATAATGTATATTATATATATTTTTGTGTATTTTTTAAATCCAGCTGTGATGGGATGTATCATAAATGCAGTGCAGGACTGGGGCAGCCCCCACCCCCAGGCCCAGCTCCTGCTCAAAAAAAGGGAAAAAAAAGATTAAAGTTATTTGTTTGTGGGTCAGTCGTGTGGCCAGCTGCATACCTTCGGGTTCCTCCTGGCAGCCCCTCGGGAATGGCTGGGATGGCCCTGGCGCTGTCCCCCTTCTCCCAGCTCACCCCATCTCTGGACGGGCGATTGGAGATGAGCCCTCCCCATACTCCAAATGTACCGCCAGAGAACTCCAGAAAAGTTTGGCCGAGCTCAAAGCGCTCTCATATCCCCATACAACGGGCAAGTGTACACTTCTCCGTTCCATTCAAATGGTAGCGGGGTTTGAGCCTCAGGTGGACAAGCCTTTTAATAATTTAGAGCCTCGGGCAAGTCTCTGAGGCTGAAGCCACACCTGTTAGAGGACACACCTGTGGATTCTTGAGAGAATTCGATAATCTTACAAGCGTTCCCTGCTAGCGCCTAGGTGTAGGGTACACCTGTGTAGTCTCTTCCCTCAAAGACCTTGTGTCGTGAACATGTCGCTCAAAAGCTCACTGCTCTTGAGTGGACGCCAGGATAAGAAAGTTTGTAACATTGAAAGATCTAAGTGATTCGGCTACAATACTTTTGAAACAAGAGATTTGCCAACTCCCATTGCTCTGGCCTCCTTTGGCCCCTGGCGCCCAGTGTGCCTGGTGTGGCCTGAACACACCCAAGGACACACTGGGGGTGGGGGGGTGCCTGGACCACAGGCAGGCACAGCCAGCCGCTGATGCAGGTGGCTGTACCTCACTAAGAGGAGGTGAGGCGCAGGCCGCACCATGACGGCGGAGTAGGGCGGAAGCCAGGCTCCCTGGTGCTTTCGTTCTTTTGCTGGAGACAGTGAGGCTGAGGTGAGATCCCCTGTCTGGCAACACCAGGATTTGAACCAGGTCCGTCTGTCCACCCTGGTGCTCCTGGCGGCCCCGTGTATGTGGGAGGAGAACTGGGCTCCACAGGGTTCCAGCAGCTGGTTGGTCGGTTATGGTGGACTGACCTCCAACCTTGTGGTGAGGTGTGGGCCCCGCACCTGGTCCAAGGGTCTGGTGGCCCTGCGCCTCCTCAGCTGGCCTGTGATCTGGGCGTCAGGCGTTGGGCTGGATGCTGCCCCCCTTGCTCTTTAACCTTCACACAGCATTCCCACTGCCCTCCTGTCCATTCCGACTGGGGTGAGGCTGTGAGACCGAGTACCCCCGCTCCCTAAGGTGTCGGAGACGAAACCTTCTCGGGAGCAGACTCCCTCATCTTTCTCCCGAGGAGCCGCTGGTGGGGTCCACCACCGACCTGCGGGGAGCAGCCGGCTCACTACCCCTCGAGGACCCCTTAGGGCTTTGCAGCCACTGAGTCCATTCCGGGGCTTAGCAACCGCTGGTGGGTTTTACGAGAGTCAAAAGCCTCTTCTTTCTCCCGTGGAGCGGCTGGTGATTTTGAACTGCTGACCTTGTGGTTAGCAGCCCAACACATAACTATGCCACCAGGAATCCTCAATAACTTCTTATGAGGTGGGAATCGGTCTGATTTACAGAAAAAGCAATGGCTCCCTGACGTTGGACAGTACAGCCTGGGCCACACTCTGTGGGTGCTAATGAGTCCCTGAGAGGTATAAATGGTTAACCAAAAGGTTGATGGTTTGAACCCACCTAGAGGTGGGCTCCAAAGGGCCTGGTAATCTACTTAAAGACAATAATCTACTCTGCAACACAAGTGGTCGTTGCCAGGCGGGGTGAACCCCAGGGCAAGTGGTTCGCTTTCTGGGTACTTGTCCTTGCATCCTCAGGGGCACTCCCTTCACACCACCCCAAAGAGTAACAGCCCCCCAAGAACTGCTTCCAGAGTCCCTGGGGTGTCAGGAAGTCCAGCAGTGAAACATGGCCCGCGCTTGCTCCTGTTCACACCAAGCCGCACATGCACCAAACTAACGGACCCAGGGCGGTGATGACTACCTCCAGCTCCCAAAGGAGGGAAGCCCAAGCCCGAAGCAGTTGCCGTCGGGACGGCTGCTCCTCAGGGTGGTGCTCTGGGGCTGCAAGGCTGTGACCTTCCAGAGGGCACCTCAGCCCTTCTTGTTAATATAAATCGTTTGGAGTGGGGGGTGGGGGGCGGCTCTTACAGCTCTTATAACAATCCATACATCCATTGTATCAAGCACCTGTGTGCATATGTTGCCATCCTTTTCAAATATTTTCTTTCGACTTGAGCCCTTGGTATTGGCTCCTCTTTTTCCCCTCCCTCCCCCATCCTCGTGACCCCTTGATAAATTATAAATTATTTTCATATTTTACACCTTCCACTGTCTCCCTTCACCCACGTTTCTGTTCTTCATCCCCCTCATGGGGCGCGGGGGTGTTTAATACATTGATCACTGCGATCGGTTCCCCAGCCCTTCTAACATGCCTCTACATGGGTTTGCACTGCCAACCTTCCAGTTAGTCACCCAGCCGTGTGGGGACAAAGCAGAGAAGGAACTCTCACGTTCAGGTGGCCGTGAGTGGAGTTAGAATCACACAGTGACACATGACAACCCTGTGTTACAGAGCACGGCCCCACGGGACTTTCAACCAGGCCTTCCCTCTGAGGCACCACTGGATGGAGCTCCCAGCTGGGGGCTTAACCATTTCTCCCATTCCTACCCAATACATTTCTGCACCTCATTGACTTGTCACACAATTCAATCATGCAATCATACCAAGAAGAGTTGTACAGCTGTCACCATATTCAATTCGAGAACATCTTCCTTATAGTCAGTTATGCATGCAATTATTATTTTTCTAATTGCAGCAAGACTATACACAACAGAACATTCTCCAGTTCCACAACGGCCAGCACTTTAAGTAATAGGTTGGCTACGTGGAATGGATTCCGTTTAAACGCAGGCTAGTGAAATCAACAGCCCAGGAAGACTAAAGTCCCCGAGTGTCTAAGGTTCCATTTGCCTCAACTGATTGCGAACAAGAAAGTGTGGTTGATTTTGACAGACCTGAGGTGGCCTCAGGACTGCCCACACTCGGTCTGCCCCAAAGCCAAGTAAGAGACTAGGGAGGGCTGCTTGGGTGGGATCATCCGTTCCCCCCAGAGTCACTAACATCTGTTTCTAGACTGTGGCACCTGGGTGGACTGCGTGTATTACTAGATCTTGTTAGTTGTCAACCAGTAGGTTCTGCCTCACAGCAACCCTTCTTATGCTTAACAGCGTTTCCAAGGCTGGAGCCTTTTGGAAACAGAAACCCAGCCTCTTCTCCAAGAAGTCTCTGGGTGGGTTCGAACCATCAGCCTTTTGACTTACGGATAAGCACTGAACCTTGTGGAGCAGCCAACACATAACTACGCCACCAGGAATACCAGAGACTCCTCAGGCATTGCTACCATTTGATCACTGTACTGGTAGCATGTGCCTGACACAGTGCAAACACTCTTTTCAATTAGCCCCTAAACCTGCTCACCTGCATGCACAGTCTCCTTCACGGAAACTAGACGGAGCCCTGGTGGTGTAGAGGTTATGTGTTGGGCTGCGATCCACATGGTTGGTGTTTTGGGAGAAAGACGGGACTTTTTACTCCTGTAAATAGTTATGGTCTTGGAAACCCACAGCAGGGGTCCCTATGAGCCGGCACTGATTCGATGGCAGTGAGTGGGTTTTATTGTTTGTTTTTTTTTTAGTATCGTAGCTTCTTTCCCTCCTCACCTCACCAGGAACCTTGTATAGACTAGATGTTTCAGGGAGAAAGGAGCAAAGTGGATCCTATATTATCTTGGTGATGGAGACCCACCACTCACCACCAGATGCAGGTCGCAGCCATCTTGCCTGCCAGTTGTACTTCGAAGGTTAAGTGACAAAAAACAGAAGGTCCTGGACGAGCTTCGCGACTTCTTCGTGGATCCTGGGCAGATAGGGCTCTTCTGAGGTGAAGTATTTTGGAGGCACGGTTGTGTTTATCCTTTGGATTAACCTTTCTGCTCTTAAAAAACAGAATGACGAACTGGTTGCTTTATTTACCTAAGTGAAACAAAGCAGATTCAAGTCAGAGGTTAAATCACACCCCCGAGAAAGCCACCTTTCCAGTACTGGAGGCATCAACTCCAGGAAGTGTCTCAAAGTCAGGGAGGGGGCTGGGCCTGCCTGAGGCAAAGGCTTTGGAAGTTTCCATGCCCGTTGGCTCCCTAGAGAACATCCTCAGATGTCAGATGGTCTGTTGCCTATTTTTCATAACTATTTGAGCAGTGAATGACTGATCATAAACATCAGTTCAGGCTGGGATTAACTCCCCCAGGCTCAAGGACTACTCTTCCCAAACCATCAGGGAATCCTCATCTCAGCCCCATGTGAACCCCAATCTTCCATAGGTCACATTTATTCAAGGCCTACACAACAGAGACGAGCCTCGGTGGGTGTATTAGTCTAGGTACTTTAGAGAGACAAATCCACAGCAACTCATGTACAAGAGAGTTTTATGTAAAGAAAGTGTGCATCACGAAAACATCCCAACCCAAAGCTTGTAGGAAGTCAATCTTGCAAGCTGAAGCAGGGAACTGCTAAGGCAGCTGTACCCTGGTGCGACCATCACAAAGCAAGAGACCTGAGAACTAGAAAGGCGAGGCTCACCACCCATTTATCCCTCCGCCTTTCAATTATCTCCACATGTGATTATCGGCCAGGCTGGCACAATAAACTCAATCTACCCCTTGCCAACCTGGCACCTGTATATAATTCTTAGCTTCACAATTGCCATTAATAACACCTATACCTTAACCCTATAATCCTGTGAATTTTTTCCCCTACCTATGAAAGTTTGTAAGCCAACCACTTCATGCCTTTATCTCCCCCAAGTTTGG